GAGGAGGAGGAGGAGGAGGAGGAGGAGGAGGATATAGAACGAGAATAGAAATGAAGGCTTGGTCCTATAAAATACTCTTTTTGTTTCCTAAAAGGGTGCAAAAATCCAATATCTACACCAACATCACAGAGATACACTGATTGTTCAGGTGAGTTACCTACCACGTTCTTGAAAAACCTCAAGTTGGCATCAATGACCCTCACTTTGAACTGCTCGGGTATCTTTTCGGGTATTTTAGACTTGTAGAACCAGTGCATGAAGTAGATGGTCACGTTCAGGAAAGCCACACCGGCTAGAAAAACCATGAATGTCATTGTCTTTTCTTGTAATTGAATGACTATCACAGCCCGTTGTTGTTTGTTGGTTTATTTGTCTTTTGTTTGTTTGTTGTTGTTGTAACTTGGTGATCCTGACTACAGGAATATTGGGATATAATGATAAGACTAATGTTTGATACAGTTTTTGCTTTTGTTTCTGCTAGCACGACTTACAACGAGAGGTGTGTTGTTTTAGGTTTCCTTCTGTAAGCCCGACTTACCACCAGAAGAAGTGTGTGGTTTCTGAATGATGTACTTTTACCACCTGACTTACAATGAAACCAGAATAGTTTTCTTTTTAAATACACTTTTCATAACACGACTTACAGTCAGAACATGTATTTGTACTAAAATGACTTACAACTAGAAATGTGTAGTTTTTAGATGCCGTTTTACTAAGACAGCTTACAACTAGAGGTGTGTAGTTTATACATGCCCTTTTACTAGCATGGCTTACAACTATATAGAAGTGTATACTTTCGCTTCTAATAACACGACAAACGATTACATGTTTGTGGATTCTCTTGTACTAACACGATCTACAACTAGTAATGTATAGTTTTTAGATGCACTTTTGCAACATGACTTACAACTAGAAGTGTATACTTTAATTTTTAATAACACGATAAACGATTAAATGTTTGTATATTCTGCCTCTATTACTACGCGATTTAGAACTAGTAATGTGTACTTTCACTTTAATCAACACGACTTACAAACTAAAAATGTATAAATAGTGACAAGGCTTACAAGCAGAAGTGTGTAGTTTCTTTTAATGTCACAACTTTAATAGACAGAAATGTGTTGGTTTATTCCCCTCTTATAACACGACGTACAACGAAATGCTGTAGTTTCTTTTAAAGACCCGACTTTAATAAACAGAAGTGTGTAGATTCATTCCCTTTAACGACATAACCTTTAAAAAAAGTGCGGATTGATTTCAATTTCTTTCTATGTATCAACACGACAAACAACTAGAAGTATGTAGATTCCCATCCAATAACACGACTTACATTAAGTTATATTCCCTTCTAAGAACACAACTTAACACTAAAAGTGCGTAGATTCCTATCCAATAACACGATTTACAATTTAAAATTGTGTAGATAAGGCTTACAACTAAAAGTGTACTTTAGTTTCTCTTCTAATAACACGGCATACAACTATAATAAATATGAAAAATTTAGAGGTCTTTCTGCCATCACGACGTACGAGTAAGACTTTTGCAATTTTAGATCCCGGTCACGTGTGGAGCTCGACTACAAACTGGACTTGGGAGTAGTAGTGTGTGTCACAGGCCAAAAATCGTTCTAACCAAAACGAACAAATTAATGGGTCCGGTCACTCCGTCACTCCCACTACTAGCTCCTACCACACCTGCTGAAAACGGAAAATACTCTGAATACAATTTCACCAAGTAGCGCGAAATCCGACCACACTAGAAACACAACGATCAACTAAGCCCGCCGCGTTGAGTGTTTGAGCTAGGAATACTGTATTACGAACTGTTTCTTTCTTCCTACCCCCTTTCCACCGGTTCGACCCGGAGTGACGATAACGGAGCAGAAATGATATTTTATCTTGACCATACTCCCACTGTTTGTTCAGGTCAGAGCATAGTGTGTCTCGGATAGGTTCTCCCTTCTGGTCAGTACTACAAGTTGTGTCCACTACATAACACTTTAACAGGTCAGACATGTGGCTCTCCATAGAGAACACTACACGGACTTACACACTCAGGAATAATTATCAAGGTAGGTCACCGTTATCTCTTTGTTTTTATCGTGCATTAATTCTATTTTGTGGCTCTCTTTACGTGGTAGGTAACTCTCACCTCTTCTCTGTCTGTCTGTTTGCCTGTCTCTCTGTCTGTGTCTGAATCTTTATGTCTCCTCCTCTGTCTGCCTATCTGTCTGTCTGCCTGTCTCTCTCTCTCCCCCCCCTCTCTCTCTCTCTCTCTCTCTCTCTCTCTCTCTCTCTCTCTGCCTTTCTGTCTCTCAGACTATCTGTCTGATCGGCACCGCCGGTCTTGCCCAGTTAACAAACCGCCTGTGGCCATATTGAATTACTAATACCACGAGAATAGAAGTCAGGATGTTATTATCTGCTCTATCAAAATCCTACAGTTATTCCGAGTCGTTATCAATATAATATTTAAAGAATTGCATTCGAAAAAGCTAAGCATGTTGCGAAACTGAACATTTTTACGTCAAATTTCTCAAAACTAGGCACTGAGCAGATAAAGCTGTGTAAATTTACATGTAATACGGGGTGCCCATTGGGGGATCGGGCTGGTCGGGCGGTTTTGCTAACCAGATTGAGGGCACAAAGCGGCTGTCGCCTCAAAAACAAACCCATTTCTTTTCAGGCGACGAGTGGGGCGATCGCCCCCAACCCGACCCGTCCGGAACCCATCTGCAATGGGCACACGGTATAAAGTAGTGGTCAGTGTCTAGTTTCACAGCGTTGCGACACTTGTTCCGCGTCTGCTAAGTTAAGTACCCAAAGAGTTCACCGCTCTATAAGAGAAAGCTTAAAATAGCTCTTGGCTAGCTAGCCCTCTTGGAAAACAGCACTCACTGTGGTCAGCAAGCCATGAGTGTTGCGAAGCTTAACGAATAAGAAACACTGAATCCAAGAAGGAAGCAAGCCCGCAAGCTGCGCACACTCAAACCGTGGTAATTCCTTCTCTGTCAGCAAAAGCAATACTTCATTTTAACTCTAATTTTTTTCTATTTCACTTTTTTTTTAAATCTTGAAATCAAATGCGTTTGTTACTGAAGTTCATCATCAGTTTTGTCTGCTTTGATTTTGTGGAGGACAATCTGGCTTGCCTCAAACCGACAAAACCGACGAAACCGACGAAACCGACAAAACTGACAAAACTTAATCAAACCGATGATACCAACGTTGCGCACAGAAAAGGTGAGTTCCCTACTTAATGTGGGACAGGAAGGGTCGTAAAAATCTGATAATTACATAGCTTAAATTGTGTGAATTGGAGCGAAACATATCTACAGTGACAATTGCAATTTCAGTACATACAACAGTTTTAGTTGCCTTTTCGTTAAATCAGCATTTCTAGACGAATACGTGCTATAGAAATTTTAAGACAAACTGTTTTACGGAGTGCACATTGGGGGATCAGGTCGGAACGGGTGGAATTGCTATCTAGATTGAGGGCGCCAAGCGGCTATCGTGGCACAAGCCAATCGCACCCGACTTGTTTTCAGGCAATGTGTCGGGCGATCATCCCGACCCGACCTGATTCGACCCGATCCCATCCACAATGGGCACCCGGTATTAGCAACGTGGGATGGTACAGGTAAGAGGGGTGGCGGGCGGCGGGCGGCGAGTGGTTGGAGGGCGTCACTGGTAGGTCCTACTTCTTTCTTTCCCTTTGTTGATTTTGTCTGTCTGTCTAACTTTTTCCCAGCACTAAAACTAAAATAATCATACATGATGACCATGATTGTGTCAATGTGTGAATCTTTACCTAAACAAACAAAGAGAGGTGTTGGCATCTCATCATTTATACGTACGATGGTCTGCTCTGCACAAAACCAGTCCGTCGGTGTGTCTTTCTTGTGTACATGGCATCAGTCAGTAGTCTAGTGGTTGGGCTAACGGGCTCGTAATCGTGAGGATGCGGGTTCGGGGGATCGAGCTTCACGCCCGACGTTGCGTCCTTCGAAATGCACCTTACACGAAATTTCCTCACTTTACCCCGATGGGAATGGGTACCTAGTACCCACCCATAGACAGCGAACGTTCTTGTCAGTACGTCAGGGCAGGGAGAGGGGGTCGGGGAAAAGGTTGGGAATGTTTGGGGGGGGGGGGGATTGGAGGGACGGGGGGGGGAGTTAGAAGGAAGTATACTCGACTCCTAATCTTCTCCCTCTCCCTGCTCCTTCTCCACCTCCTACTCCTCCTCGTGTTGTCTGCTCTTGTACTCCTCTTGCTCTGCTCCTCCTACTCCTCCTCCTCTCCTCCTGCTCGCCGCCGCGCCTTATCCTTCTTATCATCTTCTTCTTCACTACTCTTCTCTCTTCATCGTCTTCTTCTTCCTCTCCTCCTCCTTCTTCTCTTCTTCTTCTTCTTCTTCTTTTTCTTCTTCTTCTTCTTCTTCTTCTTCTTCTTCTTCTTCTTCTTCTTCTTCTTCTTCTTCTTCTTCTTCTTCTTCTTCTTCTTCTTCTTCTTCTTCTTCTTCTTCTTCTTCTCCGTGCACACATAGTCCACATGGCGTCTGTGGTGTAGCAGTTAAACGCTCTGCAAAAGTTCGATTCCTGAGAGGGAAGAATTTTTATCAATAATAATATACTTTTTATATCTTGGTCTCTCTTCTGAGATGTTGTATCGCTCTCAGCCCGTGTTGGCCCTGGCAGGCAGGTTAAAAGCCCGTTCCATATGCTCTAGATTGTGTCGGTGTCCGGTGAGGGTGTAAAACATTAATGTGTCACGACGTGGTGGAATCAGGCGCTCGTCAATTTTTTGGGGCATATGGGGTTATTGGCATGGTATCATCTTAAAGCCTGTTCAGTTGCCTTCTATTTGGGGGAAAAAATTCTATCTATGTTGAATAGAAGTCGAAATTTTAATACTTGCGATTGCAGGAGGTCAGGGTTGCCTAGTCGCAATAGTAAAATTAGCGAAAAAATGGCCGCTAAAATTCGGCAACTTCCATAGGCTGGGCATCCTTGGAAAATGACAATTTACATTTCTTGTGCCTGTAATCAATGTTTTTCGGTAAAATCCACACAAAAATGTTTTTTTTTAGGACATAAAATGTGTTGAGGCAAAAAAGAAAAAGAAAATTAGAAGAAAAAACAATTGCACATCAGCCAAAAAAATACAGGTTTTTTTATTTCTTTATTTTGACGAGCGCCTTATTTCACCACGAGGCCTCACATATTTTTCAAAAAGACAATTAGTGTTGTGTAACACGGGCAGAGAACGTTAAGACCTGGACTGGCCTGGGTATGGCAAAACGCGAATCGTCAGCTGCAGACCATGAGCGCTGGAGAGTCATAGCACGTCAACCTCTGAGTCAGAGATGACACCTCCAGATTTTTTCCAGAAATATCAGTTTTACATATCATTTCTGAATTAGCACAAA